CCATATTGCATATGTTGAGCCATTCTTTGGTTCCCAGGGATAAATTCTACTTGGTCACTGTGTATAATCCTCTTCATATGCTTTTGGATTAGGTTTGCCGATTTTTTTTTGAAGATTTTTGCATCTATGTTCAAAGGATACTGATCTGTAATTTCTTGCGATGTCTTTGTCTGGCTTTGGTATCAGGGTGATACTGGTCTCATAAAATAAATTTGGAGGTGTTCCCTCTTATATTTTTGGAAAAATTTAGGATTGCTGTCAATTCTTTTTCGAATATTTGGTAGTATTCCCCTGTGTGGCTACCTGGCCCTAGGCTTTTCTTTGTTAGGAAGTTTTTAATTATTGATTTAATATCTTTATTTGTTATTGTTCTGTTCAGCCTATTTCTTCTGGATTCAATCTGTGTGTATGTTACTGGGAATGTATCCATTTCTTCTAGTTGGTTTCTTTATATTGAATGAATAAGATAAATTTGTCTTGGACTGGCTATTGCCGGAAGTTTGTGTTCAGATTGGCCAGCAAGTCTTCTGGATTGATATATTTGTTTCCTGGCATAGAATAAATACTTTTAGCCTGACCCAGGCTCTGTGTGAGTGTAGAAGTTGTTTTTGTCTTTTCCACATTCAACAAAAAGTAGCTGCTCTGAACCTAATCTCTGTCCTTCACCCTGGAGAGGTCATCTATGTGTGTCATCAACTAGCAGACCCTTCCCAGTATCCCTAGTGGCATAAAGGGCCCAGGAAACCTGTATCTGGCAGCCCATGAACTCTGCTCCTTTCTTTCTGGTAAAGAGAATTCACACTACATCTGCTAGTCTTTTTATTTTGTAAAAAGTTTGAAGGCACAGAAAATGTGCAAGAAAGAAACCTTGTGTATACTCTTCTTCTAGGTTTACTATTTGAGATAATCGTTCTTTCTGTCCATTAAAAGTATATGCATGCTTGCAATGTACATATATAAAATTATCATTTACTGAACAAATTGCAAACTTCATGATTCTTTACGAAAAAAGTTCTCTGAAGCAACCACAATAAAATTAATAAATTGAGTAAATTTAATGCTGATGCATAATAACCATATCATTTATATTCAAATTTTACCAACTGTTCCAATAATGTATTTTATAGTATGTTTTTCTGATCCAGCTTCCAATCCAAGATCACACACTGAATTTATTTTTCATGTCTCTTTCATCTATAATATTGAACAGATTTGTATGCTTTTGCATCCTTGTATTGACATTTTGGAAGAGCATAAGTCATCGCTTCTGTAAAATGCCCCTTTGTAAGAAAGAGCCTGTCTCTCCTTTTTCATGTTTGACTACTGATAACTTTTGAGACTCACCTTGCCTCGTTCCCTTTCTGCCCCACACTTAGGCAAGCTGACAAAAAAGCCCGTGTGTGTGTGTGTGTGTGTGTGTGTGTGTGTGTGTGTGTGTGTGTTTAATGGTGCAGTTAGACTTTCAAACTGTGAATGCTGTCAGAATCAAAATGGAGTGATTAATGTTAAGAAAACCCTGATGGGTAGAGCCAGGAAAGGGCAAGAAGATAAAATTCTCACATTTATTTTGTTTTTATAACAAAAAAGTCTATGAAAACACAACATTGCACAAGGGCCATTGCAACCTTCCACAAAAAATACTTCTGTGAGGATATCTGCCCAACAGCTGCACCTTGAAAAGGACAGGTATAAAGTAAATGAGAAAGAGCTGAAGTTATTTTCCTCAGGTTTTAAGTTGCTTATGGGGAATGGCTCAAACAAGCTGCTCTGCTTTCATTTCTAGCTATGGCACACACACCACTAACATATTACCAGGGCTTATATGTATATATGTATATATATATATATGTTTTAAAATCTTTCTTATAAAAAAGATATAATTAACAGAACTCAGAACTCTGTTCAGTAGTTTTTTTTTTTTTTTAAATGGCCTTGCCAGTTGTTAAGATAGCACAGAAGAGAGGAACATGTAATTGAAAGCAGGACACATGCCTGTTGCTCCATAGGATTCCAGCAATGACAAAACAGGCAGGATGCTTTCAACAAAGGTGGCTCCGCATTTTCCCACTGCAGGTCCTAGCCTTTGCTAATAGGAACAAGCCTAATTTTAGCCACCAGGATGTCCCTCACTATGGTTTTAACATTTGCAGGGATTATTATTGTTTTTTTTTTTTTTTGCATTTAGCAACAAATTTTAAGATCAAATCTCCTTATTTTAGCAAAATGTCACACAGATGGTCTGGAGCCCCACCTTTTGATGAGGGGACAGCAGGTGCCATCATTTTCAAGGTTCATTTTAGTGTCAGGAAAATGAAGAAAGTACAGAGGGAAATAAAAATATTTCCCAAAGCCTGCTTCATGGGAAGTCTGAAGTATTCATGATGCTTTTCAAAACCACCATATCCCATTGCTCCTAGCAAAATTTCTGAACTTTATTACAAAACCTGGGCAACTGGAATCATAATAACCTTAACTTCTGTTTATATGGAAACTACCTCAGAATTCAGTTACAATCATGAAAAGCACATTATTAATCATTCTCCCAATTTAATTTGTTGGGAAGGAGGTATAGCTTTTTTTTTTTTAACAAATGCAAGGAAAGAGAGGTGATAGCATTTGCTAATATTGTTTGATGAAGTGGCCAAGGGCATATTTTATCACACTGCTAAGTTGTCCCTCTGCTCAGGCACTCCTTGAGCCAGCTGTGTGTGCCCCTTACCTCCTCTCTGTTGCTAGGGATGCTTCTGGCAAGGTGGTGGGGTGCAGCGTGGTCCTCCTGGACCTGGGTTTCTAGGGGGCTTCCTCACCATCCCGTGAGAAGATTCCCTTGCCCATGCTTCACAAATTCTTCAAGTTTAATACCTATTCTTCCTGTTCTTTCCACTCCTTCCTCAACCAAAGTGATTTCCAGATTTCCTAGTGAAATGAAGAGTGTGATTGGAATTTGGAGTAAAAAGCAAAGAGATGGCAGGAAATTTTTTGCAAGTGGCAGAAACGGATTTAACTCACAATTTGCTCGTGTGCCAGGCCAATTTTTCTTATCCTGCATATACAGGGGGATATCCAGTTCTGCTTCCAGTTTCTCAAGCTGCAGCCTCGTTCAAACCTCAGTGCTTGGAAGGCTGCCTCCCACTATGATTCTAGAGCATTCTTGTTAAAGGATGCATTACCCACACCTGACATACACATTGACATACTTTTCTGATTTTGTCACTCTAAACTCTGTTACTTTATGGTTCTAGAAATCAGAATCTTTTTGTCACTTAATATCTATTTCACTGCTTTTTGCTGACATTCATAGCTATTATATTTTATGCTTGGTTTTACTTGAAGGAAGCCAAACAAAAATTCCCTCTTGATTCTTAAGCCAGAGGAAAGGAAGTGCTGTTTTTTGGAGTTGTATGCATCCTGTATACCCCTGATCCTATTCAAGGAAGATATAATATAATATAATATAATAATGTTGCCCATAATTATTTTATTGGTAGTTTTATTTTATTACTTGACACTTTCATTATGAAATTTCTGCTGAAAATGACCATTTCTGTGGCTGTGAAAGAAAATGCCAACTTTTTTTTTCTGTTGTACAGATTATAATCAGTTCAATATGGCAACACTTAAACTTTTAAATATTTTCAGAGGAAATTTATAAGCATACTACATATATTCATTATTGCTTTTAGCACAGTTATTTCTTCATAAAATGGCATGTGCTCATGAGTGGGTTTATTTGTTTATAACCAGATTTTTTAGGTATTTAACCCCTTTATCCCATTGTTTTAAAAAATACATTTGGTAGAATTTTATGTGTTTATAAATGTATATTATGATAAAAACAAAACATAAAAAGATATTTAAGGGCTTTTAGACTTTTACTTAGAAAACTGTACATTTAAAGGAGGCATGAGGTTTTTTACGTGTATAGTGGGTGGCAAAATTACTAGGTCAGTTTATCTGTTCTACACATTTAGGACGTATTTATTGATGGTAGTTTTACCATTTGTTTACTTCTGTTGCAAATGAAGTCTTTAGACTCAAGGGTTTGGTCTTTGGTTGAAAATAGCCCTTGGGGTTAAAAGAAAAGGAATAAGCAGAAAACTAAGATTTGTCCCTCACTTTTTTCCCCTTTCTCTCTCTCTCTCTCTC